CTATAGCTATATCTGAACCGATTTCAATCAAATTTGGCATACTTATATTCAGGTCTAATTTGGTTGTAAGTGCAAAATTCCATACTATTCGGGCTGATATTACACGTTTGGTGCACAATAAAAGGTAAATCGGACGAAGATATATATGGAAGCTATATCTAAATTTTTACCGATTATCTCCAAAATCAATAGGGTTCGTCCTTGGGCCAAACAAATGATTTGTGCAAAATTTCATCTGGATAGGGCAATAAATGCGAACTGTATTTTGTTTACAAAAATACATGGACAGACCGACGGACAGACGGACGGACATGCATAAATCGACTCAGAATGTGATTCTATGCAGATCATCAAAATGCACTATGGGTCTATCTCGTTTCCTTTTGCCTATTACAAATAAATGCACAAAGACATAATACCCTGACCACCTTGTGGTGTAGGGTATAAAAAAGTATCAGACGGTATTACCAACAGATGTATACCCTCGGCTAATTTTCGATTGTTAACCATCTATGGAGTAGGTGTCGAAGGAATGGGTTAATATGTTCCATTTCGTATCGGACCTAAATAAATATGATATTTATATTGAGACGTTTCAGGTTTGTTTTTTTTTTCTGCTCCCAAGAGCGCACTCTCTCTCGAATTGAAGTGAGTTTCACTCTTTGTACAAATTCGAGGAATTTAAAGGTTCTAAAATTCGTAATGTGGACTCTATAGCAATGATGTTTGATATTTTATTAATTATACCCTCAGCCATATGGCTAGAGAGGGTATATATATCATTTGATACGGTAAAACGTGCCTAGTCGAAATAACGGTTTTAGACCCTAGATCTCTTTGAAGGAAATCCGTTTCAGGACATTTGGAGTCGATCTAGCGATGTGCGTCTATCCGTCCGTTTGTCTGACTGGTGCGCACGATAACTCTCGAAGGTAGTATCCGATGTGGTCCAAACTTGGTACATCGAAATATTTTTGTCAAACTTAGATCAAGTTCGGAGATGGGCAATACCGGTCCACTCCTTCTGGCACCTCCCCCCAAAAGGTCGAAATTTTCAAAAAAAATTCTGCACAGAAAGATAAACGATAATCCGATTTTGCTCCAACTTTGCAACTCCTAATATTTAGTGCTAGGCCAGGTGCGAAAATGGACAATATGGGTCCACTCTATCAAGTACCTCCACCACAAACAGTCAACATTTTGAATAATTACAACTCCTATAAAATGTGATGTAAGAGTCCGATTGTCTTCAAATTTCACACATCCCAATAATTTTATTAACCCAAAGTCTGGTGTTAAGATGGAATATATCGGTCCACTAATTCTGGTATCTCCCCCACAAAAATTTTGAATATTCATAAAACGCGAAATAAACATCCAATTTCATTTAGACTTGGCACATCTCAATATTTCCATCAACACAAGATCTGTTAAAAAGACGGTAGAGATCAGTCCACTTCTTCTGGTACCTCCCCCACATAGGGTTCAAGATTTTTTCAAACCAAACGCTTAAAGTAAGCCAAATTAGTTAGGGTCGATATGGAATGGACAATATTGACCCATTCCAGTACCCAATCCAAAGAGGGTCAAGAGTTTAAATAATCATAACAGAAGTCAAAATCAGCAGAACCGACTGATACTTTTTAACTTGTTTTATTTTGTTTTTCCTCATCTACTGTGTTCGTGGAAAGTTTTAGCTAATAAATTTCAATTTGAATTCAATATTATGTAGAACAGTGTTATCACAATTTTAGCAATTAAAAAACCAGCAGTATTATTTAGATAAAAATTGACAATAAAAGTTTTAGAAATCAAAGACAAATTGAACTTTAACAAAAAATTTGAGACATTGTAAAAATCGTATCATACAATGGCATGCAGGTTTCTCAATAAAGGTTGTTAATCTTTGCACATTTTCTGCCAAAATGTGGGTGTGGCAAAAAAAGTGGAACCCAGATATTAAAGTCACTTTTAATTTGGAAGATATTTGTGAAATGAAAGTTTTGTATTAATCATAGCCAATAATCATTCGAATTCTGAGAAATATATTATTCTTTAATCTGTAATCTTTAATTGTCTCTTCTTAACAGGTGCAAGAAGCGAAGAATTTATCAGAAAACTATGTGAACGATGATTCGACTATGGCATCATCCTAGTTAAGATTAACACACGGCGCTGTTGGCATTACTAGAGAAGTTCTTGGATTCTACTTGGATTCTAGGAAATTTAAAATCTCAATCGCCAAACATCATAGGTAGAGATGTAATACGAACGTATCGATAAATGTTCCCTCAGCCATATTGCTACAGAGTGCTATATATCTTTTGATACGGTCAAAACGTGCCTTATCGAAATAACGATTTTAGACCCTAGGTCTCTTCAGACGAAATCCGTTTCAGGACATTTGGAGTCGATCTATCGATGTCCGTTGGTCTGTCTAGCTGCTGCGCACGATAACTCTCGAAGGAAATATTCGATTTTCTTCGAAATTGGTACATCGTAATATTATTATCAAACTTAGATCGATTTCGGTCCACTACTTCTGGTACCTCCCCCACAGAAGATCAAATTTTTCAAAAAACAAAAAAAAAATAGTTTACTGCACAGGAAGAGAAAGGATCGTATTGGATTGTGCTCCAAATTCTAATATTTGCATCAGTGCTAGGTCAGGTGAGAAATTAGATAATATTGGTACCCCCTTCCCCCAACCCCCAACACAGTATCAAGTTTTGAATAATTAAAACTCTTATAAAATGCGATTGTAAGCGTCCGATTGTCTTCAAATTATACAGCTCACAATATTTTTATTAACTCAAAGTCTGGTGTGAAGATGGAATATATCGGCCCGGTTCTTCTAGTACTTCCCCCACAAAGGTTCAACATTTTGAATATCCACGAAGCTCATAAAACGCGAAATTAACATCCGATTCCATTCAGACTTGGTACATCTCAATATTTCCGTCAACACAAGATCTGTTACAAAGATGGTAGAGATCGCACAATTTTTTATTATACCTCCCCAACAAAGGGTCAAAGTTTCGAATAACCAAGACGATTATTAAACACATAATAATATTTTTATTAACCCAAGGTCTGGTGTGAGGATAAGATACAGACTGAGATAAAAAAAAACTTCAACAAAGTAAAACGCCATAATTTTTACATTTTTTTTAAATTTTATTGAACAAAGCAAAAAATGTCGGAAATAGCACCAACTTTTAAAATAAGTTTAGATTTGTTCGAATTGGTCATCTTTGGCACGAATTGTGGCCTTCAAACGGCCAATGAAACAGACAATGCCCGAATGTTGCTCTGCGGTATTTTGGCCCATTCCCGGCGAAGCGCTTGCTTGAAGTTATCGACATATTGGTATTTTTTTAGTGCCAAACTTGCTTTCCAAAATATTCCAGACACAATAGTCCAACGGATTGGTTTCCGAAAATTCGGTGGCCATTGTGGGGTGGAAACGAAGAGAGGGACCTCATTTTGTAACCAATCTTTGGGAGGCGCGTGCTGAGTACGATGGTGCTGAGTCCTGTTGGAAGGTCCAAGGTCTGTGGATTAAAGGTTTGTGTGCCCAAGGCTTTAATACACCCTCCAGAATATCTTCGCGATTTCGACATTTTTTTATGCCACGGTGGATTAATACGAGCGGAGAGCGACCATCGGCTGTTATGGCGACCCATACCATCACCATGGCCGGCGCTTAAGTTCTGGTGTTTGTTTACAAACTGCTGGACAACGAATGTTTTCTCATCGGAGAAAACCAAATTCGGCAGTTCACCACTTTCGGCCGAGTCTATTTGAGTCTATTTTCTTTCTGTTGCGGTGTATGTTTTTTCACTTTTTGGAATTTCAATGGCTTACCCCGAGCTCATTTTTCAATATTTGCCGAATGGAATATTGCGATATGTTCAGCTCACGAGCCACTGCGAGGCGGGTTTCGATAAAGTCGCTTCTTTACTTTTCGAACCATTTCTGCTGATGTTGCTGTTTTCTTTCGTCCACTTCCTTGACGTCGCACTACGCTACCAGCATCACGGTAACGAGCGATGGTACGAAACATAAACGATCTATTCACATTTAAATGCTGGAGTGCCCTAAAGATAGCCACTTGTGGTTTTCCAGCCAAATATAAAAAATCACACTATCACGCTTGAATTCCATCACAAATAACTTTTTTCTGTAAAATTCTCACCAAAATGTTTTTGTACACTTGTAAACAATATCTGTCACTGTCACTGGAATAATTTTAACAGCTGTCGGACGAATGTCTTAGAAATGACAGCAGTCTGAAGTTGGTTGCAGTTTTTTCATCTCACTTTGTACATCTGTCGACAAAACCGACTGATACTTTTAAACTTGTTTTAATGAGCTTTTGATGGATTAAAATCATGGATTTTCTGAAAAACTCTTTTAAGGATCCAAACCCTAGATTTTTAAACATTTTTTGTTGTAATATAAAATAGTTAAATTTTAAATTATGTTTTTATGGAATTATGTTATTGTATTTGTTCTAAAAAAGAACAAATGGAAAAAATTGTAATAGTAACCTTGTGAGAAATTCTGAAAATGCATAGAAAAAAAAAGAAAAGTTTCGATACCGAAAAAAGAACTAATATTAAGTATTTCGAATAAAGAAGAACCAAAAATAGACTATTTTTGAAAAGACAAACAAAATTCATGGTAAATGCAGAATTTGTAAAATTACTTTAAGAGAATAATTTGCTACAAAACAAATAAATTCGAAACACCCCAATATCCATTCTCCGAAAACGAATGCCGCAAATTGCAGTAGGGTACACAAAAATACCGACCTCTATGTCTGCTTATCTCGTTAGTATACAGGTATTTATATTTGTTTAATATCTGTGTTTAAACATTTAAAACAAACAGCGATAAGATCATTGCTGTCGATAGTACGTATGTGCACGTACGTATGTCTGTATGTGGATACCTGCCATCGATCCCCAACCAAGCCCCAACAAATGACTGCCGAACAGTACACACTGGTGAAACGTTAAGAACGCCAAGTGAAATGTTCACAAAAAATTAACGAAAAATAAAATAGAAACAACTCAAGACAACGCGAGAAATGTATTAAACGGTTTTACTTTATAGGCTTTAAGTCAACATCTTTGAAAATATTGAGTCAGTTCTAGACAAGACAAGCGACGGCGTGTAGCATTTAACGGGCCGCGATTGGCGGGCGGATTTCGGAATATGTTGTGCGAGTGTGTGTGTGTGCGTTCGTTCGTATACATGTGATATAATTTACTAACATATAAATTGTCATAGTTAAGAAAATAAAAATGGCAAATTAATACATACCATCGTCGTAAACGTAAATAGGCACAAGTCGTTCCAAAATAAAACAACAGAATTGTTACAACGAAAACCTAACAAAAGTGCATCAACAAATAAGAACCAAAGAACCATCAACATTTCAATTTCAATTCGGTTCACTTCGAAAAATAAATGTTCAATTCTCAACGTGTATCAGTGAAATATGAAAAAATGCCTAACGTAACCTTCAGGTAAAGTGTAACAACCAACAACCAACCAAACGCCCAATCTGACACCAGCAAAACAATTGCAACAACAATTTCGCACACCTATGACAAGTGAATTATTAGCAGCAATTTGTTGTGTTTAAGTGGAAATTAAATGAAAAGTTATCTCTCACCAACATCAAAGAAAATGCAAACGAATTGATTTGAATGGTCTCGATTTGCGCCGTGTTGAATACTCAGTGTTGCTAAAAATATTAATTGATACTTGAAAATTGTTTAAAAATAATTTTTAATTAAAATAAATAATATATATTAAAATATTTAGAAAGGCTGCAAAGTTGCACCTACAACAGGGAAATAAAGAAATTAAAAAATGCCCCAACCACAATTCCAATGGCTGGAGTACGACAATGTTTTACCTGGTCAATCGTGGATCTGCATATTACCCAATACGTAAATTATGGGAGAAGAGAGGCATTATAATGGAGAAGTCTTTGTAGGAGAACGAAATACCTTATTATAGAAGACCGAGGAATAATATAGTATATAAAACGAGTAAAAAAATCTAAAGTCGGACGAGCCCACATTTGAGGTACAATAAACTTAAAATCGGACGAGGATATACATGGGAGCTATATCGAAATCAGTACCGATCTCGACAGAACTAGGAACATTTATTTCTAGGTTGTATCAGATACTGTGCTGAATATCTTTGTTATGGAATTTGTGTGTTTAGGGGTATTTGTGTTTATAGGGCATTAAGGACTTAAATATTAAATCAAATAAAACACATATATTTGGAAGCTAAATCTATATTTGAAAATATTTTTTACCAAACGTTTCCTACCTATTTCGTATCTGGCAAAATCTATCCTAGTTGGGCTAATATCTCACATTTGGCGCCCAATGAAATTGCAATCGGACAGACATTTTTACAATAAGACTTCTCATAGAGTACTCAAAGATCTCTCATAAATCTCTCAAGAAGACAAAAAGTCTTCTCACAAAAGACCAATAGCATCATCTCACAGAACACCAAGAGGACAAGGTCTTCTCATAGAAGGCCAAAAGATCTTCTCACAGAAAACTACTAAAGGTCTTCTCATAGAAACCCAAATAGACTTCTCTGATAAGAGATGGCCAGAAGGTCTTCTCATAGAAGGCCAGAAGTTTTCCTCATAGAAGACCAGAAGGTTTTCTCGTAGAAGAGCAGAAGGTCTTCTCGTAGAAGAGCGGAAGTTCTTCTCGTAGAAGAGCAGAAGGTCTTCTCGTAGAAGAGCGGAAGGTCTTCTCGTAGAAGAGCAGAAAGTCTTCTCGTAGAAGAACGGAAGGTCTTCTCATAGAAGGCCAGAAGGTCTTCTCATAGAAGGCCAGAAAAGTCTTCCTATAGAAGGTCAGAAGATCTTCTCATAGATGGCCAGAAGGTCTTCTCATAGATGGCCAAAAGGTCTTCTCATAGATGGCCAGAAGGTCTTCTCATAGATGGCCAGAAGGTCTTCTCATAGATGGCCAGAAGGTCTTCTCATAGATGGCCAGAAGGTCTTCTCATAGATGGCCAGAAGGTCTTCTCACAAAAGACCAGAGAAGGTCTTCTCCCAAAAGACCAGAGAAGGTCTTCTCACAGAAGACCAGAAGGTCTTCTCACAGGTCTTCTCACAGAAGGCCAGAAAGTCTTCGCACAGAAGACCAGAAAGTCTACTCAGAAGGCCAGAAGGTTTTCTCATAGAAGGACATTAGGTCTTATAATAGAAGGCCAGAAGGTCTTCTCATAGAAGCCAGAAAGTGCTTTTCACAGAAAACCAACAATTCTTTTTACAGAAGATCCAAAAGTCTTCTCACAGAATCCCCAAAGGTCTTCTCATTGAATACCAAAGGGTGTTCTTATTGAAGACCAAAATCTGTTCTCATTAAAGAACATAGAAGATCAGAAAATCTTTTTTTAGAATACAAACAAGTCTTATCCCAAAAGACTGAAAAGTCTTCTCATAGAAGACCAAAACGTCTTCTCATTGAGAACCAACAAGTCTTCTCCCAGAAGATCAAAAAGTCTCCTCACAGAAGACCCAAAGGTCTTCTCATTGATGACCAAAGGTGTTCCTTTTGAAGAACATAGGAGTTCAGAAAGTCTTCTCATAAAAATATCAGAAAGTCTTCTCAGAAAAACCCAAAAAGTCTTCTTATGGAACGCCAAAAGGTAGTCTCATTGAAGAACAAAAGGTCTTCTCACAGAGATCAAAGAGTCTTCCTACCAAAGACCAAAAACTCTTCCCGAGGAACTGAAAAATTAATTCTCATCAGGGACAAAAATGTCTTCTTTAAGATGACCAACAGACCTTTTTTAGAAGAGCAACCGTACTTATTTTAGAAGATCAAGTGGCCTCCCAAGATTTCTACTCCAAGGGGGGAAGAGGGCCCTCTTTTGTTAGAAGTGCAAAAGGTTTTCTCATTAAATACCAAAATATTTTCTCTTTGAAGCCCAACAAATCATCTCTTTAAAAATGAATTAAGGACTGAAAGAAATTTTCATTGAAGACCAAAAGGTCTTCTCACTGAAGAGAATAAGGTCCTCTCGTTGAAGATAAAATTGTCTTCTCATTGAAGAGAAAATGTTATCTTCAAATGGTCTTTTTTGGTTTGAAGCATTTTGAAATATATTCTTTAATAGAGGTAGTGCTATTATTTTTTTCGTAGCTGTAAAATATGAATCGCACAAAAGACTAAAATTAGAATATTTTTGCACATCGAAGAAAAACTTGAAAAAAGTGTTATTTTCTCTTCTCTCTCAATTCTAGTACAATACGCAATTTCCTTAATTATGGAGGAACACGCTCAACACTATAACAATTCAATTTTAAATTTAAATACCCACAAAAATAAATTTATCTCTTTTTAATTCAAATATTTGCTCGATACAAAAGGTGTTAATTATTTCCAAGCTAAAAATAACCATTGAGATATAATAATAAAATAATAAATATACTACAAAAATAGCATCGTCTCACACGTGATTATTTGATTAAACAGAAATATGTTCCGATAAATGGTATTAAAAACAGCCGGAATCAATATGTAAATATTTAATCGATTGGCATATTGTTCCTATTTGCTTTTGCCTTATAAATGTTTTTTCTTGTTTATGACGGTACTGAAAGTCGACTATTTTGTAATTGCTAGACTTTGTTGTTCTTTTGTTTATAGAATTTATTGTTGCAATTGTTTGTACATCTTGCAATGGAGGTGTTTTTATTTTTTCTTCTTTGAGGAAGTAATAATAAGTTGCAGAAATTTTGGTTCGGCTTAAAGTGTCGAATTGGTTACACTTTTATTGAAAATTTAATTAGGGACAAATTTTCTTAAAAAAACTAAAAATTCCCACCAAGTACTAAATCTGAGAAGGCTTTTTCTATAGAACATAAAACTTTACCATGGAAAAATCTTATCTCTCATTTTTTTTGAAGAAATTAGAAAGTATCAGTCGGTTTTGCCGACAGATGTATACCCTCAGCCAATGTTCGATTACTTTAATATATTTTGACTTGTGTTATGATTATTCAAGTTGTAGACCCTCTATGTAGGTGCCGAAGAAATGGGTCAATATTTTTTCCTTTCGTAGCGGACTAAAACCAAAATGATGTAAATATTGCGACGTGCTAGGATTGGACTATATAGGTTACTTCCTTTACTTTATATGAGATATGTATTAATTTTTAGAAAATGTTAAAATGTGTGTGAGGACCAGATATAGGAGACCTAAGTATTACATTTTCATACTTCATCTTATAGAGATAAAAATATTGGAAATCAGAAAATCGAACATTTATATCCAATTTTATACGAAATCATAAATTCTACATTTATCTCAGGTTTCTGGCAAAGAGAGATATATTTAGATATAGGAAATGTTAAAGAATCGCTGTCTTGTTTCGGTAGTTATGACAGATAAAAGTAATGAAAATTGTGACCCTTTGTGGGTAAGGTACCAGAAGCGGTTCGCAAATATATATCATCTTCACAACAGATCTTGTGTTAGTAAAAATGTTTGTCTGTGTGAAATTTAAAAAGATTCGGATGCTTATTTCGCTTTCTTCGACCGAAAGTTGCATCGAAATGGTCCGATCTCTACAATCTTTATAACAGATATTGTGTTAATGGAAATATTGAGATGTACCAAGACTGAATGAAATCGGAAGTTAATACCGCGATTAATACGCTTCATGGATTTTCAAAAATTTCACCCTTTGCGTAGGATGTACCAGAAGGTGTGAACCGATATATCCCATTTTAAGAGCAGATCTTGTGTTAGTAGAAATAATGGGATGTGTGAAATATAAAGAGAACTGGATGCTTATTTCAAATTTTATAATCGTTTTAGTTGTTCAAAACTTTTACCCTTTGTGGGGGAGGTACCAGAAGGAATGGTCCGGTCTCTACCACCTTTGTAACAGATCTTGTATTGATGGAAATATTAAGATGTACCAAGTCTGAATGGAATCGGATGTTAATTTCGCGTTTTATGAGCTTCATGGATATTCAAAATGTTGACCCTTTGTGGGGGAAGTACCAGATGGAGTGAACCGACATATCCCATCTTCACAGCAGATCTTGTGTGAGTAAAAATAATGGGATGTGTGAAAAATGAAGAGAACAGGATGTTTATTTCTGATTTTATAATCGTTTTGTTTAGTCAAAATTTGAACCTTTGTGGTAGAGTTACCAGAAGCAATGGTTCGATCTTTACCATCTTTATAACAGATCTTGTGTTGATAGGAATATTGAGATGTGTCAAGTCTGAATGGAATCGGATGTTAATTTCGCGTTTTATGAGCTTTATGGATATTCAAAATTTTGACCCTTCATGGGGGAGGCACCAGAAGGAGTGGATCGATATGTTCGATATTCGCAACATACCTTGGGTTAATAAAAATATTCTGATGTGTGCATAAATAAAAATAATCTGATGTGTACAATATGAAGAAAGTGGGATGCTTATTTCGGACTTTATAATTGTTTTTGTTATTCAAAAC